TCCTCAAAGGAACTTGTTTAGGGTAGCAATTTCCTTGCCATATTTTAGCTCTCTGTCTCCAGCTATTCAGGCTGTCTAAAATAAATCACAGAATTCTTTTATTCTTCTTTTTTTCCTGAACAATGGGTTAAGTGTGATAATTTTGTTTGTGCTAACTCTTCTCATTAATTCTCATTTTCCCTACATCCAAACAAAACCTGTGACTGTTTCTGTTGACAGCTCTACTCTAAGACCCAAACAGGCAAAAACTTTCAACAGGCTTAAAGTAGTATTTTAACCAGGAGAAGTCAAAATAGCTCATCTGGTTTACCCACCACTGGAATGTAATGCAAGCTGTGTAGACAAACCAGGACTCAGATGTTAAAAAGCATCAATAACGAGTTAGATCCATTCCCTCTTTAGAAGCTACAGATTTCATCCTATGCTGGAAGGATGTTAAGGCCAGACTCCTATTAGATGGCTCATCCCAGACAGTGGAGAGTCCACAGAAAATCATAACCAGTTGTGGGTTGGGTATTTTTTTTGCCAAAGCTGTATATATTTCCCTTTGAAGTACTATTGGTGAGGAACATGTTTTATTACTCATGGTGTTAACAGCAGTTCAAAATTTTAACTCATTTTTCAAAGTAAAATAAGAAATTGTGTCCATGAGAGCTTCAGGCCAGCTCTTTAGCTACAAGCTGAATTTTTTTCTAAAAATCTCAGATGAATTAAAGGCACTGTTTGAAAGCAAGAGACCAAAGGGATGTTTCTAAGCTAAAAGGCAGACAGAATAAGCTTGGCTTGTCACCAAGTTGCATTGAATTTGACAAATGAAATTTCATTAGAAGTGCAGGGATGGTTGTGAAACTGCCAGTAAATAACTGTCTCCCCAGAGTCCCACACTTTTTCCAGAGTCTATTTTCCTCCTTGGACTCCATTCTGCCAGGGACAATATTTTAAAATGAAAAAAACAGAGTCAAGTATCAGAGTTAGTAGATAATAAAGGTCAAGTGTATTTCTTCCAGGAGCTACTGGAATTTATGCCATTGTGTTATCTTTTCTTCCTCCCTTGTGCTTTTGCTCACAATTGTTACCACTAATGGGTCTAAGCCAAAACCATGAATCTAGGCAAATTCGGGAATGATTCCACAGCTAAACTGTGTAGCTGACCATTTTCTCTCCAATGATCCAGAGCAAAACCCAAGCCCCAGGCCTGGTACCCCACGCTCTGCAATGTTTCAGGCTGCAGAATGCTTCTGCTTCAGACCTGAAACAGGATCTGAACTTCATGGCTCATGCCCCTCTCTGCTCATCATTCTCCAGTAATCCAAAATATGAATTAAATGCATATCATCATTCATCCCACCAAACCACATCGGTGCATGAAGCTACTTTTGCCCTTTCAGGGCATTACAAAACCATGAAGTATCTCTCTTGGCTGTTAGCAAGCAAAGAAAAAGGGTTCTTTGTCTTGTTTCTTGCTGCTAGAGAAGGAAGGTTTTCTCCTCTTTCTGGCTTGGGGATTTAAGACATTTCAGCTTCCAAACAGGAGGCCCTATCATGACATGAGGTTGTGTTTTCTGTAAGGATTAGCTCTTGAATTTACCCTTCTGTACCACCCCTCACTGCTCCTCAGCCAGAACTTTGGCTGGGGTGGCCCTGACAATGCAGCTTCTTTTGCTCTGAAGCCAGGGCAAGATGCAAGGCCCAGAGATGGACAAAGTGCAGAAATGAAACTTTTCTGCACATACGCTGTAGCTTGTGATTGACTCAGACTGGCTTGAGGGAGCATGTGAGCTCTTTGCACAGGAGGCTCTGAGCTCAGTGACACAATCTGTACCTCTTTTTACAAATGGCACCCCAAAGGATGCCTGCTTCTGAAAACACATCTGCCTGTGTCTGTCTCTGTTGTTAGATGCAATTTTGATCATGCTACAGATGGTCTGTAAGTGAACTCTTTCCTACCCTGAATGCAAGGAAAGACCTAGCTTTTCCTGGTAACAGGTGAAAACCAGGTATATGAACACCTGTTCCTGAAGCGCACAGCAGTGTCATCAACAGACAAGAGACGGAAAAGGAGGTGCCCTCTGACTAATTTTCTAGTTTTCTTTTTACAAACTCAACACTATGTGCTTTGGGAAAAATTTATACCTGTCAGAAGAGAAGAGCTGGAATTTCAGCTCCTTAATTTGGTTGCTAGTTTAATTTGCTGGGAACCAAGTCCTGTGCATCACATGCTTCAGCTGACAAAATCAGCAGAACTTTGCTACCTCCCCTCTTCAGACCACGTCACTGATGTAAATTGAAGTCATTACCCCAGCAATTTATGGGAAGAGGATTTAGAGTATTGAGATAATAGAATGCTAGTCTTTACTTTTCCAAGTTTCATAAAGTTGTAAATGCTTGCAGAACTAATATATGCTTGCAGAACTAATATAAAGGGTATTTCCAGTGCAGATGAAGTTGGAGGTCTCGATTTCTTGGTAAAACTGTTTTCTAGAACCTTAATTAGAACTCTTAAAAATCACTGATAACCAAAATACCTTGCCACTGCTTTTAGTAGAGTAATCCTACGTGACTTTCCACAAATTCTTTTTAATTAGCTCCTTTCCCAGGGTGTGTCATGCCAGCAGATCATTATGGCATTAATCTTACCATATTTGCAGCAGATTCTTTATTCTTTCTCTACAGATGGAGTATTATCTTGAGGCCCCATGAAGTTTTAACTCTCAGTCATCCTCTTTAAAATCTATTCTCACCCTTAAAGAGTCTAGTCCCATTTTGGGGAGGAAGGGGGGGAAAATGTTCTAAAATAAAATGTTGCAGATGATGTTGCACAAAACACCACAGGCAATTGCACACAACATACACGGTGCTGCCAGCAGTCCTGCTGCTTAAGAACAAAAACTCTCTCATGAAATCTGAATTTGCAAGTTCCATCTGTAGTGCCAGTGAACAAGCTAACAAATGCTACACCACTGTACAAGGTCACACAGGAGGCAGTGCTAATTCACCCGTTAGAGCCACCAAACTGTAGATTTTGACATCAGATGGACTTTTAAGTCTTGAGAAATAAGAATTTATTTATGGTCCTTATTACTGAGAAACAATACAGAATTTGTCATATGAGAAAAAAAATTCCCATTGTTGCACTAGATATGCACCACTGTACCGGATAGGAAATAGTCATGTGAAAGAAAACTCAGGGATACTTAGCCAAGTAGATTTGCTAGAAATCATGCCCTGCATCATTTGTACCTGCTTCAAATTTGATCCAAGTTTGGGTCATAAGTCAGATGTTAGTGGGCCTGTCAGATGGGTCAGCAGAACATTGAGCTTTGTACTTATATATTACAATTTATGCCATGTGTTTTCTACACCAGCTGCTGTATATGGCACTATGGAAAGCATTTTAACACTGGTCTCAGTAACTCCCTGAAAACATTTCCAGTGAAACTTTCTCTTTGGAGATAGGAAAATAAAAAAATACGTAATTACAAAATACATAATTTTGCCTTCTCTGGGCTTCGTGAAAGTATGGCTTCATGGATGGTCATGTGAAGTGAGGATGGCAAAGTTCAGGGTGGACCATTTATTTTTTGTGGTCATGGGGTGCCTGGAAGGACAATCTATCAATCTCTTTGTTTGAGTTTATCCATCCCAGTGATAGCCTGGGTGCCAGCAGGTATTTGATGGCTTTATGGTCAGTATGGGCTAGAAGCCAGTGGAAGGGCTATAAATTTTCAGACCTGAGGCATGAACTGACTTTAACCAATGGAGGTCAGGGACAAGCATCTCCTTTGGGGGCACTGCTAGGTTATTTGTATCTCAGCAAGACAGCTGGTTTTACACCAAAACCAGCACCTGGATTAGAAGGGCAGTTAGTTGTTCCAAACACGGTGGTTCCTATGCACTCCAGCTGTCAGGCTCGGTAGGGAAGCTCCATCAGATGGTGAGGGCACACAGTGAAAGGGATCTGCCAGTAAGGCCTTACAATTGCTCTGCAGATACTGAGTAGCTAAATGCTGAGGATCAGGCCCTACAAGACCCTACCTAAGTGCTGTCATTTGCTGACATCCCTCTAAATGGATGGTACCTTGCAGAATGGGAAGCTGGGGCACCTGTCCTTTGAGTATCAAAGGGGAAAAGTCACAGAAAGGGGAAATGTGAGGCCAAAAAGTCTGAGGCAGGCTCCAGAGAAGATTTGCAACAGTGGCATTTTGCCCTGTTTCCCACTATGTCCTGGGAGCCAGTAAAAATTTCTGAAGCTATTTGCTTGATAGAACACCCACTGCTTGTTTTAATTAGCTTGGTCTCATTTTTAATAGGCACCAGCTGAAAATTTTGAGTGGGATCTTGTATGCATTCACCGTTAATGTGGAAAGATGGGCCTGACAGAGCTCAAGCTTGCATCCCAATTATTGCCCGTGTAGTTCCACGAATCTGACCTGGTACAGCATAGGGGGAATGGCAAGGCCCAGCCAAACTAAACTGGGTGAGTTGTAGCTATCTTCTGTGTTCCACTTGAACGACTTAAGATAAGTAAAAGCCATTTTTTGCCCATTTCTGTTCAAGGCTGCTGAGGTCTTCTGTTGAAATCAAGTAATCATCGCCTGTAGTGGATAGCTTTTTTGTTATGAGATAGTTAAAGCATGTCAGCAATCTTTGACTGATAACAAACAAACCAAGCTCTACTCATGTTCTCTCACACAAAGCCTTTAAGACTCATTGACATGCCTGGAGCTGAAAAAGCCAAAATCGAGCTCTGTTAAAGGCTTGTAAACACGGAGCGTGGCCACACCTTGTAGTGTCTGCAGCCTAAGGGAACAGATCTGCCAAACTAGATCTGCTTTTAAATCCCAGGAAACAAATCATTGGTAATAAAACACAATGGCTGCTCTCCATCTGCAATCAATTTCTGTTTAACTAATGATGTTAAGTGGAAAATAGCCACAGTCATCTCTTATTAGGTGCTTGAATAAACAATGGCTGTAGCTCAAATGCTTCATTAGCAGGGAGGGAAGCAGTCAGTAGTTCCTTTTCCAGGTGTCTGTAGCTGTTAGGGTTTGCATAGCTGTGGGCAGGCAGGCACGCCCGTGTCACTGCCATCATCCTTTGTGTGATGGAGGGAAGTGTCTCTGTTTGCTGCTTGGCCTGGGCAAACGTGATTTTAACAGCAAGGTGAGCTCTGCAATCCAGTGAAGTGACTAAATCCTTCTGCTGCATGCAAATGGCTTTGGGCTGGAGTGTGAAAGGAGTCACCCAGGGTGTAGGAGAAGCTCTGTGTCACCGGGAGGAAATGACAGAGCTGTGTCTAGCTCTGAGCTCTCATGCAGAAAGCCTGAGACAAGCCACCTTTTTGTTTCCCCTGTCCACTTGAGCAGGTTTGGGGTGCCACTGCTGGTGGTAGTGCAGTCCCCTAGAGCAGGCCAGCTGCATGGAGTCCAAATTATTTTTCTGGTTTGATAGCAGTGAAAGGTTCAAGGTGTAATATTGGGTTCAGGGCCAAGGGCAAAAGTTGTGTAAAGCTGAAGCTGATGATATTTCTTCAATTTGTCTTGCCAAAAGCCATGCACAGATAACACCTCTCAACTTTCACTCCTTAAGTTAGTTTTTTGTGCCATCTATAAATTACAGAATCCAAGTCTCTTACAGTGGAAATTCTGTGCTATGTATGCACACAAGGCTTGGCTGTTCTCTTACATCAAAATGCCATGCCAAATACATAATCATGAGCACACAGAAATGTCATGAATGAGAGAAGGGAGAAAAAGACTAAGTTAAATAAGACTTCTTAAAAATATTCTGGGAAATGAACAGGCATTGTGAGCAAAGGCAGAATAATTTGTGGGCAGATGAGTGAATCTGTTCTTTAATGGCATTATAATGCCGCTAGTAAGAAATGTATGCATTCGTGGAACTTAAGTAGATGCTAGATCCTCTTGCTTTAGTATTAAAGTAAATAAATCTTTAAAGTGTTTTCAGAGAGCCCCTTCACTTCTACCCAGCTCTTTGTTAGTTTAAAGAAAAAAACAAGCACACACAAAAAACAAAACAGAAGAATTCCCAGAGAAAAATATTTATGTTCATTTGGGGCAACCCAAAGCGTTTCATTTGTTTCTGTTGTGAAAGGCAAATGTTTGCCCTGGGTCTGAGCCCAGCCTGCAGGTGTGGTGGCTGGTCCTGTGTCCCTGCATGTGCTGGCTCACGTGTGGGCGGCTCTCGGGGTGGCCCTCAGGGGCCTTGCCACACTCCACTGAGCTGTTTGCATTGCTGGGCTTGTTGTAGATCTGTCTGTCTTGTAAAACCAGAGTATTTCGGGCTTAGGTGACATTGGAGAAACTGTGAAAGGTAGGGGCTTTGCTTTGTTTTGTTTTTCTCTTGTGCTCTTCAGAACTAATGGCTTCAGCCAGATGAAAAAGGAGTTCTTATCCCTGGTACGTGACTGCTTCTGACTGTCAGAGCACTGGTTCCATGCATTTAATGTTTGCCCTGACCTATTCCAGCCCTTTTATATATATCTGTATTTAGTTAGCTGCTCTGGATCCACCCCCATCTCCAGTGGAATAGCAATGGTGATCATGCCATAGGCGTTTATACAAGGTGGCCACTCAAAGAAAGTGTGCTTTCTATTGCTACAGAGAGCTTTTACTTTGGCTGTTTCTTAGGTGAATCCTGGTGTTCCAGATACACACTGTGGTAACCCCACACAACAGTGAAACATAACAAGTTGAAGCTGTCTTTAACTGGCCAAGGTAATATTAAAATTTGTACACTGGAAGAGCCCAGCCCTTATATACCAGGTTGCTCAACTGATAAACTTGTCATCTAGACCCCCGTGCTCTCCCTTCTGCACCCATCCTTGTTAACTCGGGAACACTTTCTCCAGTTGGCCCAGGATGCATTAATCCATAATCTGAATTTCACCTGTGTCTCTGTATCTCTGTTTCTTGTTACTCTCCTGTTGGCTGGAGCATGAGATATGCCTCGCTTGCACTTTGGCATACTTGGAAAGGAAGGAGGACTAAACTGGCTTTAAACTTGCACCTGGCTGCATTTAGGACTTACTGGGTTGGATACAGGCATGAAACAGAGCAGGCTTGGGCTTTTTTCCACACTTTGCTTTATCTGCCAGCATGTCCTGAGTGAGGACTGCTCTGTTTTGTATGAGGATTATCAGGGGATAGACTTTCTGCTTAGGAGTTGTCCCTGAGGTCTTACTGCTGCTTTAAAGAACAGTAAATGCAGGAGCTGCTCCCAAGGCCAGGCTTCCTTTAGATAAACTGTGGCCAATGTTGATGAACTAACTATTTGCACAGCAGATGGGAAACAAATGGAAAACTCTCTATCTACATTACATGCTTGTATATTTTCTGCCTCCATTGCTAATTTAGTCTGAAGCTCCTTTTTTCCCTTAAATATATATGTATATATATAATATTTATATATATATTTTCTCTTAAATATATATACACACATATATACATATATATGTAAAGAAAGCAATTGGTACTTTTCTTCAAAACCCATTCTAAGGTACTCTGTTTTTCTTGCTGCCTTACTCAACCTTATACCCAAATTTCTCCACGGTGATTTTTAAAGATGTAAAGCTCTATGCACAACATCTCTGTAATTGTCTATATTTTAGGCAGTTGCTACTTAAGGCCTTTATTTTTCTGTGTTTCAATGGAGATGAAATAAACCATCTCTTTCAAGTAGAGGTTGTAGATGGAAAAAATGAATGAAAGTATTATTCATGGAGTGAAATGTAATCCCCAAAATCTAGTCTGGGAGAACTGCTGCTCAGCTGAGGCCAGTTTAAAAACCTTTAAGGCAACCTGCTTTCCTTGTAAAATGAGGAATTTGGTATAAATATGTTTTACTGCACCTTGAAGTACAAAACAGAACAGAGGGTTGGAAGGTACTGTGCTCTCTTGTTGACCCTCACCCTCTTTACATTGAGTTCTTCTCCGTGTAAAAAAAGCACTCCCACTCTTTCTCTGGGTCTTAGTACAAGTATTAATCCCTCCCCATTGGCAGGGGGCCTCTCCCATTGCTAGCCTCTGGTCAGACAATACTACTGAATCCTGATTCAGAACTTGCAGCTGATGCCAAACCTGTGTTTAGCTATAGTTTGGAAGCCCTAACAATTAGCCAGGGTGTATATGTTCAGCCAAGGATGAAGTGCAGAAGGTCAGGGGCTGGGGATGAGCTGCTGAACAAGTGCCACAGCTCAGTTCACTGTAGAGCAAGGCACCAGGGAATGTGGAGAGAAAATCCACAGTGGCAGGCTGGGAGAGGACATCCTCAGGAAGGGCATGCTGCCTGAACAAACCAGGTGGATGCGTTTCGTGGTCTGAACTGCAGGAGCAGATAAAGCACTGAGGGCTGAGTAAAAAAATACATATTTTTTTTTCTAAAAAATTAATTGAATACTGTAATCTTGCAAAATCTGGGAGCTGGTGGGGCACAAAGTCTTGTTCTCTGGAGAATGTATCATGAGCTGGACAGTGGAAGGCTCATAAGGATAAAAAAGGAATGCTGTGTGCTTTCAGGTGCTGCATGTCAAGAGGAAGTACACCATTCAAACATAACTTGCCTGGGGGTCATCTGAGCCTGTGGAATTGTTTCAGCTTGTAACTCACTGCTGTGTCTTGCTTCTGCCATTTGCTTCCAAATAAGCAGCTGAGAGGACAATTTAATTTACTTATGCAGCTTCCCTGAATCCAGGTGTGGGCTGGGTTGTGCAGAAAGAGGAAAATGTTGTCCTTGCCCCATTATTGTGCAGGCATTAAGACATGTGGGCAGAGCTTAGTTAGCTGGTTTTTGGAAGGTGCTAGTGTTAGGTACAAGTTATATTTCTCTGGGCAGGAAGGCTGAAATGTACCCTGCCTAGCTGAGATGCTGAGGGTGAGGTGTCTCCGGGGCCTGTTAAGTCTACCATCAGATTCTATTGGCTGTGGAGGGAACAACCAAAGCTACTTGTCTTTGTTAGGTGAGGTGGATGCTAATGCCCCAGGTCCTTGGGTGCAGGCCTGCCTGGAGAAATAAAATTCTGTGGTGCTTCCTTTTGTAAATCCCAAGTATGGACTTGGGGGATGTGTTAGGGGGGGATGTCTGAATGGGCAGACTCTAAGACAAATGTGACATCTCATAGCCCAGCTGAGAAGAACTGGATCACTCCATCCTCTGTCCATGGGGCAATCACCTCTGCTGGGCAGCACTGAGAGGCAGAGACTTCCCTTCCATCATGGGGACTTTGCCTTTTGGCCAAAGTACAGGGAGGTGGTTATGGGCAGTTTCTGAGATTAAGCAAAAAGGCTGTATTTGAAGCCTGCTCTCTGTTTCCAGGCACGTTCCAGATGCAAGCATGCCAAAGTTCTCTATCTGACCTCAATTTACACCTTCCTAGAGGGAAATAAGGAAGCTCTGCAACTGGCACTCCTGACTGTAAGAAACTAAAGTGTGCCACAAGCATTTCTCTACCTGTCTTAGTAGCCAGAGAGAAGGGAAAGTTTCTGCTTAGTGGAAGAAAGTGAGCACAGCTAAAGCCTTGTTAAACACAGAGAGACACTTGCTACCTTTCAGCTTTCTCCCTGTGATTTGGCACCAATTCATTCTGCCCACACAATTTCTCCAGTGTGACTTGGCTTTGCAAAAAGCTCCTTAATCCACCACAGAAAGGTTTTAATGCAATTGCATCCAGCACAGTCCTATTTGACTTGATTTAAATGAGAGAGTTAAATCTCAGTCTAGACGGAGTGCTCTCTAGCTCCTGTGGATCTTGTACCCAGCAAGCTGTGTACTCATCTCTGAGTATGTTTCTCATTTTCCAGACGAGCCCAGGGGATCTGCACACCCCCTCCATAAAATTCCTGTCTGTGCTAAATTGCCTCGTCGTCCTGATTTATCCCTCAATAAAACATATCAGGAGAAGGAGAAAATAAGTTTAATTGCATAACTGACATACGTATGCAGGACACGTTTTTGGTGGTTCTTTATGCACTTATCTTCTTTAAGGGGGTATAAACAACCATGACTTTCATGTACAGTGAGAACAGCAAAAGGTGAGAATAAATGTAAGGAGCAAGGAGTAAACCCTAAATAAGTATGGCTTCTGGAAAAGGACCTCTGTTAAAGGGTTCACTGAAAAATATGAAGAAATGCATTTGGGATTTTAG